GCTTTGGTTGGGGCTTGCAAACCAAAGGAGCCGAACACAAACACATTTTTTGAGCTCGAAATATAAATGAGCCGAACAGGAGCTGAGCCTGAGCTCACTCGTGTTCGGCTCGTTTACACCTCTACATATGGTATTGATGCAAAAAGTAAAGTTTAGATGTTAGATATGTAATCCCTTCACAATAGTAAAATGTACAAGTTATTTATCATTGTGGATAATATGAATAACAAAAAAATGACAATTTACATACATACCAAACAACTCTCATGCATTTACATATCTAACACTTTAAATTTTATATTTACATTCGCAACACTTTGCATGATGAACAAATGCATGAAAATGAGCATTTCTCTTTTATGAAATGAAATATATTATATGTTATTATGTATGACACCACCATCATTTTGGTGGTCTTAAGCTTCTTAAAAATAAATATAATGGCATCTCTTTTATCAACTTAATCACACTCATTAATTATATTCAATTAACTTAATTTCATTAATTGAGTGATCATCCTTGTGACAAACCTTTCAATGAGGATGTAGATATAATCTCCAATGTCAAATGAAAAACATTTATTTAATCAACTCATTTAACACGAGATAATTAGATTAATAACTAATCACCTCTTCATCCACTATTTAATTCAGATTAGCAAAATTAAACCAAATAAACTAAAGATGAAAGTTCACCTTCCTCATACCTATAACCTAACTTTGCTGGACAAATTAGGGCCATAGCTTTAACTTTTATTCAAATTATATAGAATAAAAATGTAAATTTAAATAAAAATTATATAATTTCATATATCAAAGTTTATATGCATATAAACCACCAAATTCCTATGTATGTAAATATCTAACAGCTAATTTTTGTTTTTTTATACTTTATATATATATATATATATATATGAAAAGGTTGATCGCAGATCAACCCCATAGTCTGATCGAATAGCGGGCTCCCCTTCTAAAAGTTGTGTAATTCGATCATACGTAGAGATCGAAATCTCGACCCAAGGGACTTACACCAAAGGCCGCAACCAATGAGTCAGGCTAAGACACTTTTATATATATATATATATATATATATATAAC